TCTCTCTCTCTCTCTCTCTCTCTCTCTCTCTCTCTCTCTCTCGCTCTCTCCTCTCTATCTCTCTCCCCATTTCTCTTTCTCATTCTCCCTCATGTACTGCCCTCTATATTTCTCTCTTTTTTTACTCTTCTGAGCTTTACTTGAGCCACGTGTCGAAGCTTAGCCAGCGCTGCGAGCTGCCATAAGGGGCCTGCTGTTGTGCGCAGTTCGTTCAAATTCTATTTGTGTGCGTGTGCGCGTGTATGTGTGTGTGTGTCGCTCCGAGCGAGCGTGTTGGTGTTGTTGTTGCTGGGTCCAGACCGTCCAGACGATGAAGAGCGTTGTTCTGTTTGTCCGACAGGCTCGCACCATGACGCCTACGGGTATCCACACGAGTACAGAGGTACGGCGTAACACTTGCCTGCCGGCTGGCACAGTCCAAGCCTAGTTGTGCAATATGCATGGTCTGATAGGCAATTGGCAAGGCTGTCGGTCGAGCCCCTCTCTCTATCTCTGTCTCTCTTGTTTAGCCACCCTAGTCTTTGTATCGAGTCATTTTGTCAAAAATTTGTTTTCCTTAGTCTTTGTAGAACACTGATTTGGTTCGTGTAGTTTGAGGAGATAAATGCTAGTTTTCGACTGAGCATGTTGACCTCGGAAGCATGTGGATTCATCCCATTGATTCTTACATTTTCTAAGCCTGCAAACCAGGTGTCTTCTTGTACTGTACTCTCAACACGTTTACCCGTAGTGGTCGTTAATTCTGCCTCCCTAGGTTATTTTGTCTACTTGTTTTCATTGTATGTTACTTAATTACCAGGTGATGCTGCGTGGAGACATGTAAAATCCACCAAAACCCCTTAAACCACATCAGCGAAACTACTTCCCTGCACGCTATCTTTCTGTACTTTTTAGTTTTTGTTGTAGTTTTGAATTTCTTTAAGCATGCTCTTGTCACTTACCAATTTATTTATGCAATTTCTCAGATTGAAACGCAAAACTCCATTATTTCTTTTCTTTTAAAAAAAAATCATAAGAAAAGGGGGAAATGACTTGCGAGAGAAGAGCATGCCTAAGGAAGCCCACGTTTCCATTTCTTTATCATAGAGTCTTGGGTGGGTCCTCCCTCACAGAGAGGAACGCAAAAGTTGAATGCCCGAGAGTAGCTGTCCCGGTCAAACTGCCCACAAGGGTAGCTGTTCTGGCCAAACTGCCCAAGAGTATCGCTGTTCTAGTCAAACTGCCGAAGGGTAGCTGTTCTGGTCAAACTGTTTTTGGGGGGGCTCACTCTGTTTTATGATTGGCCGCAGTTGTGGCCGCCACTGGCAAGGTCCGGGAGGGGGCTGGCGCGGCCGGCCCTTGGGCTGGCCTCTGATGCCCTTCAGGGCTGACCCCCCCCACTGGCCCCGTCCAATAGTAGTCCCTCGTTGCGCGTTGTGAACGAGCCCTGCTCCCGAAGGCTCTCGAGGCTGTAAGTAGAATCTCCCTTTGCGGAGGCCCGTCGTGCACCGTGGTGGGGGTGGCTGCAGTGGCGTGGCGTTGCGGGTGGCTGTGCCTTGACGCATGATGTTGGTTTCCCCGCGTTTTCTCCCCACCCTCCGCCATCGAGATCAAACTTCTTTGGTCATCTCGCAGCTGTGTTTTTTTAGACAGTCCCCAAGACTGTCTCTACCAGAAGGACCCCCGCGCCCTCTCTTTCCTCGCTCATTCTAAAAAAGGGATATCAAGAATCTTCTTTCCTTTTTTCTTTGTTTTTCCCCCACCCCCCGCACTGACCATGACCTTTGGGAGGATGGGTGCATGGTGCTAGACGCTGTGATAGACGACTGATGTGTAGACCTAAAGCCTGCTATCCCACTGTAAAATAATAATGTCTTAAAAACGAGAATATATTGGGACCGCAGATTTTACCAGTAGTGTACCCGGCCTACAAAGAAACCCGCGTGACATGGTTGTAAAGAAAAGATTGGCCAATATGATTTACTGGTTTTTAAGACAATATTTATTTTTACGGTGCCCTGCTATGGCGTGACGACGGTTACGTGGTTACGTGTCGCTACCATCTCTAGAGCCCTTGTAGAACAGTAGTTGTAGTGTTTGCTATGGTGGTGGTTTGGTGTTTTGCTACGGGTCCGTGCTGCGCGCTTGCATGTCCTCCTCGGAGAGGAACGCGCGCGCCCCTTGTTCGCGCCGCGGGAGCTTGCGGTGTGTTACGTGAGGCGGGGGGGGGGGGGCGTCCTCAGTCCTGATTAGCTGCCTGGAGGGTACAATCCCACGACGACAAGCCGCCAGGTGCTGCTCGATCCCCATTTTGTACATAAAGCTAGTTGTTCCGTCTCTCCGCCCATAATGACACGCGTGGAGCGCCTAGCATTATCTTATCTTTTTATTTTCCATACTTTTACGCTCATTATTTTACCCGTGCTCGAGATGACCAACGCTATCGGCATGCTGTAGAGATTGCATGTGTATGAAGCTGTTGCCGCCGGTAGAGGCCCAGGAGGCTGAAGCCTTGGACGTGTTATTCTCCTCCCGAGCCAGGTCTTCCCTCTGATGTATAATTCCCCACCCTTTATCACCCTTTTCATCCCTCTCCTGACCGTCCATCCCATCACCTGTTCAAGAGCACCGTGACATGTAGGTGACATCTTTTCGCCCGCCAACAGAGATTTTAAAGCCCGAAATTTTTTTGGAAAATTTTCTCAAAAAGAAATTGTTTTTTTGTTTTTTTAAAGAACGCAACTTTTCAGGAAAAGATTCAAACATTATAAAGAAAATGTTGGAAAATTTCCCAAAAATTCTGTTCTGGAAATTTAAAATCTTTATCCGCGAAATGCGTCGGAACGATGCTGCCACGATGTCGCGCACCCTCCGCCGTTACTCACTCTACTGTCTCTCTCGCACCACAGGGTCCGTCTACGGCCACGGCAGTGGCTCTTCGGCGCCGCACCGGACGCGCTCACGGCTGGAGCGCGACCACTCGGCCGAGTACGACGACTACAGCGACCGCGAGCGCGACCGGGACGTGCGGGACCGGGACCGCGACCGGGACATGTACGGCGGCCACGGCGGCCACCAGAGCGGCCACCACTACGGCGGCGGCGGCAGCGGCGGCCACCACATGGCGCACCCGGGCCACCACGGCCAGGACCACCGGCACCCGCACGGCCACCCGCAGGGCCGCGGGCCGCCCGACCACCACCCGCACCACCGCCACCACCAGGACTACGACGACGACTACCGGCACGGCGGCCACCGCGCGTCGTCGCGCAGGGCCCTCAACGCCCTGTAGAGACGTCCAGCACGCACCAGGGTGGCTCGGCGGCCCGGCTCGACGGTGACCGCGGGCAAACTGTCTCTCTCTCCGCCCCTCCCGACGGTCATATTCTGTGATTTATTTCATTTGTGCCATTTCAGGATATGTCATGACAAGTAGAGTGTCGTTGGCGCCCGTCACTGGGCCCGAGTGACTCTGTGCTGCTCCTAGTTGTTGGGGACCACCACGTGGACTGTGCGCGTGGCGCACCTTGGCCAACCGAACTCTCCCTCCCCCTCCCCATCCCCTCTCGAGGACCAACCGGACCAGCCTTCGCCCCGCTGTGCAGCGCGCCATGTGCAGCCACAGGGAGACCCCTGTGGAGGCCCTCCGCTCCGCGCGAGTGGAAGGACACTACAGGACTACTTCGTGTCTGTCTCCTCCTCCCCTACAATCAAACTGGGCGGCAAGGCATGGCTAACTCCTTGTTTAGTTTGTTACGTATTGTTGTATTGTTCCTACTATTTTTTTACTGAGCTGTACTGGGTTTGCGACAACACTCAACCTTTCTTGTCGTCAACCCGTTTAGCCTGCCAGAAGTATTTTCAAAAGAAAAAGTGACGGTACCAGTGGAATAGTATTTATTGATGCCTCATTTTTCTTTTGTTGTATTTAAACTACATCAGGTTTTGTGTACCTACTTACCCGGGTTGATACCCATCCTGTGGCGTTTTGGGCAGTTTTAAACCTCCTTGTGGTTCGTCCACAACTGGATTTGATTAAATATCAATCTTCTCATTTCATTTTTCATTTTTACGGGTGTTATCTATTTTCTTTTAATATTGCTGCCCGGAGACTGAAGCCGCTGCGTTCAGGGTGTCATGTTGCCCTTGTTATATGTGTACTTGGTGATATGTTTTGCATGGTAAATTTTTATTGTATGTATGAAACTGAAAGCAGAGTGATTTTCAAAAACCACCTGCATTAAGAGAGAGTTACAGGAAACGTTATGCAATCAAAATATGCAAAAGTGTTCAATAGTTTTGTTGATAGTTACAATCTGCTTCATACTTTGATACTTTGTTGTGTTCCCCTCTGTCCTCTAGGGACAAACTGAATTCCGAAAAAACTGCCTCCAGCTCACTTTAGGCCTTGGCTGCAGAACTCTTATTTTCAAATTTTACTACCGCCTCAGACAGATTGTTAATACCCTAAACATTGCCGTATGTCTTTTCATTCCAGAACTTTTTGTTGCATCCTGATGTAATAGTGTTATAAAAAATAATTCGCGCAAAATTACGATTAACAACAACCTACTCTGAATTCTGTTTTAAAGAAAGAAGCAGCCAGGCTGTATGTATATCTGTTGCAAATTTGTTTGCAGTGGTGCTGGAGATCCTTAATTTTACATTACAGTACAACTATTATCCTTTAGTCAATAGCAGTAGATATTTCAGATTCAGAACTAAATGGTTCATCTTCAAATACATTGAATAGTCAGCTGCTTTTACTATCAGGGACAAAGATAACATTTTAAAATTAAATGCACTCTTGACCAATCAAGAAATTATATGAATTATGATCATCCTAATGCATTTGAGCCGTCTCTTTTTCAATTTAGAAACTTTTATTTAATAGGTAGGTCTTTTACATTGAACCAATGGCATACCTTAACTTACTCTATGATTTGGACTCTTGATTAAAAGTGTTCTCTGTTATTACCCTGGTGGTTTACATTTGATTTTAGATTAGGGCGTATTATTCCTCATTAACTGAAGTAACAATTTCAATACTTTCATACATTTTTAAAAATATATATTTACAAGGAATAAATGAGTGCCAGCATTGCTAAAAATATCTATAATCTGTTCAGTTGAATTGGATGCAAATAATACAGTGTTATGATGGTAGGAGGTCAGCATGAATACTTTGTCTTATATTGCACAACAAATATTTTGCACAATTAAAGACTTGAACGGATAATTAAATCTAAATTCATTTTTCACTAGTGTAACTATATTAAGTATGTTTTTGCAATGGAATTGACTTTTTGTGTATTAGTTATAGGTATTTAAAGTATCATTTGATGACAATCCTACTCTCTTAGCAGCAACATGGTTGTCACTGACTTCAATTCCCTTGATCAGAAGCATGCTGGCACTGCCTCCCTTCTTGGGTTACTTTTCCCTGATAACTTGAAGAGGATACACTTGTAAGGAATGCCACGCTATTTCACAATGGTACTACATGTCACGACTCTCTTTTGAGTACAAACAAAAATATTTTGGATTCAGGTGTTGTGGTCAGGGTAGCAGATTTATCTGCAAGGGTCACAACAAGAGTAATTGAAGTCTTCTCTAAGGCTAAATAAGTGATTGCTGTGTTGAATGAAAAACTTGATTTGTTCCTGAGGGTAAATTTAATTTAGTATTGTTCTATGTTCAGTGTGTTTCCTTGTCGCTTAAAGAAAACCAACACATATGTACTTTTAAGATGAAATACTTCACAAATATTTTGGAAGTATTCATAGCTTTTGATCTGTCCCTTGTAAGTTTATTGATTAAGGGATTAAAAAGTGCTTGGTGTATTGTTATGTGTCATTGATGAGAAAGAGGCAACTCAGAGGATTTCAGGAAAGTGCTATGGGCTACTGGGACCTGCTAGGGTGCAATCATTGTACTGTTATGTCATATAGCTAAAGCCCGCTACCCTTCAGCCTCTTTACCCAACACTACTGTGTACATTGTGATAAATCTAGTTGTTTTGAAAATTATGAATATTTTTCTTTTCTTTTTTGGGTGGGGCTATAAATACATTGAAATAATGTGTCATCCCAATATTAACGGTTTGTGCCTACCATGTACTCTCCATCCTTTCCTACAGCCCACTGCATACTTGTACATATTCATATAAGAGAAACAAAAAAATTTTTATCTACTCTAAAATGTGTTTCATTTATCTTCCTTAACTGTCAGCATGAAGCAGGTCAGAAGATATGTGGTAAATGATCGAAAAAGAAAGTTGGACCAGTTGGGTTGGGCAGTTAAGACCAGTGATGCCTGTCCATAAATGAAGATGGAGTTCAGAATTATATGTTT